ATTCGGATGTTTATGTCTGTCGACGGCAATAAGCATCTGAAGCTACACATTAGGAAATGTTAAGATATTAAATTCAGTAAGAAATATAATATATAAGGCAAAGTTAATTCCTTAGTTTCATAACCCGGCCGGGTCAAATTTTGAGGTTCTACAACAAATTCCCAAAAAACGGATTTCTGAAAGAACATAATACCGACTAAATCGGCCAACTTTGTCGATATTATGTCCCAGGAATCTGTTTTTCTGGATTTTGTGGTAGAACCAAATTTTGGAACCTTTAACAAAAAAAATTTTTTTTATATATATTATAATAACAGTTGGGTTTTTAAATTTTTTTTTTTTTTATAAAAATTTTGTTAAAATTATGTATGAATTTTTTTTTTTAAAAAAAAAAGCCGACCAACCGAGTCAACTGAGGTACTAAATTTGTACGGTTTAATATGTAAAAAATATTACCTCGTTGATAAATGCATTGATAAATGTTTCATTAACTACGATTTCGTTCGTATCGATTCCGTCGATATCATGAGTATTGATATTTAGGCTTTTAAGAACAATGGTTAGATTGTTCCAGGTCGCTTTTCGAACAGTCCCAAACGGGCCCCTACTGATTTCCTCACAATCATTAAATAAATTATGATCAAATTTTATAACTTCGTTTCTTTCGTTAATAATTTTTTCAATTAATTCATTCAAAGTATTTCGATTAGCCATAATTTGCCAAATTCAAAAATGCGTACTCCTCACATGTATTCATGTATTTATGTGTTTGTGTATATTTGTTGTACGTACTTAAGTATGTACCCACGTAATACATAAACTACATGTACGTACAAAAAACTGAAAAAAACCAATTCTAGCTTATTTCAGCAACATTATTTCTTTAACATGTATAGAGAATTTATCGATAACAAAATAGAGGAAGGAAAAATTACTGAATACAAATCTGATGAATTTAAAAAGCGCAAGAAAATTGGTGGTGGTGCGTACAGTATTGTTTACAAGGCAATAATAATTAACGCAGAAAATGCAGAGAAAATGTATGCATTAAAAGTTATTGAGAATGATGCCCATATTGATAATGAAATTATGAATGAAGTAAGCAACATGATGAAAGTTTTTCAAATATCATACGTATGCATGTATATAACTGAAATATTTACATTATAAAGCTTGAGAATATGCTTTCGGTGGATCATCATCAGAATATTATTAAATTTTATGGTGTCACGAAATTTAAAGGTAAAAAAATTGCATACGTATTTAAAATGCTGTTCTTGATGGGATGGATCGTCAGCACTATTCTTAATAAGATATAAAAAAAAAAATCGATTTATGTACGAATGTACTATTCCGAAATCGATCCTCATAACAATATTTGGTTATGATTGAATCATAAATATTGATATAAACACTTACCTAAACATTGGTCCTTAAGATAATATAGCAAGGATGTTTGTACCGGTACTGAATACTTAATGAAAGCTGGTTAATATACGTTATTTCCGATTTCTTGTTTTATTTTTTGAATTTGTATGTTACAAATCAAATTGGGCAGTAATAATTGAGGTACCAAAATTTTACGTTATGGCTTGGTTTTACTATCTCGATAGTAACGTAGTTTTTTAGAATCCTATCAGGAACAACACGTAAATCCCTATCCCATCAGGAACAGTACCAGCTAACTATCCGTTAAGAATAATATTTTTGCATTGGCTATACCTATAAATTATTAAACTAATCAATACATGATAGATCTAATGGATGAAGATATTGTTAAATACGCACTTGTACTTGAGTATGCAGATAGTGGCACATTGTGCGATTTTTTACAAAACAATGCGACCGAAATTGAGTGGGAATTGAAATTTCAATTTGCGATCCAACTAGCGGGTATGCGTAAATTTTATTAAAATTATCAGTTGATTTCTAACTAATATTTTGGATTTAACTTTAAAGACGCAGTAAAATGGTTACATGTGTTAGATATCGTTCACGGGGATCTGGTAATTTAGATTCTCTTTTTCATGATTGTTATGAATATGTTGATGTTAATCAAAGATCGATTTTATTTTCATTTAAACCTCGAAAGCACTCCAGTAACATCCTTGTTCATGAAAAGGCTTTAAAATTAGCCGATTTCGGATTATCACAACGCATTGTTAATTCAAAAAAGTCTAAAACTACAAGACAAATTTTTGGAGTAGTGCCATATATCGATCCTGAGTGCTTTAAGTTAGAGAATGATCAAGACGGAAAATCTCGTAGGCGTAGAATAAATAAAAAATCAGATGTTTATAGTGTTGGTGTTCTTTTGTGGGAAATTTCAAGTGGAAGACCACCATTTGAAGATTATGATCCAGCAACCCTACCATCCAAGATAATAGAGGGTCTAAGAGAGAAACCAATTCCTGGTACAAATGAAAGATATATTGGAATTTATAAAAGTAGGGTTATAATTTATTTTTACAATATTCTGTCTTAAATATGGATCTTATTAACATTTCTTTAATTAGAATGCTGGCAAAATAAACAAAGTGATCGACCAACTATTAATGAAGTGTTAATAGGGTTAAACGATATTGTCAACCCTTTTTATAAAGATCTTTCTTATCATGATGTCTCAGTTAGTGAAATTGATATATCTGAGTTTGAAGAATTCTTTAAGGAATATGTTAATACTATTTTCAATGAACCTCCGAAAACTCCATTAACTATAGAACTTCATGCCAATGCACAAGATCCTAAAACTACCTTTATAAATGGACTTTATTTAAAATTTTGTGATATGTTTAACAAAGGTATGTCCGTTCCTAGGACAATTAAAAATTATATATCTAAAAATGGAGAATCAGAAAGCGTCGTTTTAAATTGGTTATATCTTAAAGAAGAACCAAAATATGTTTGTCTTCGTGGAATATTTTATATGTGGAATATTGGCACAGAAGAAGGAAATAAAATGGATGTATTTAGTTTATTCCTCAATGCTGGAAATAGAGATGAGGTGGTTGCACAGTATTTTGTTGGAAGGTGTTTCGAAGTTGGTTGGAATACCAGGAAAAAATTGAAAAAGGCACTTGAATGGTATAATAAGGCAATTAACAATGGATCTACAGCAGCTGAACGTGTACTTGGAGATTATTTTTATAAATGCCAAGAATATTCTCAAGCATTTAAATTGCTCAAAAGCGCGTATGAAAAAGGAAATATATTGGCAATGCATAATTTAGGATTATGTTACAAACTTGGCCGTGGAACAGATATCAATATGAAAGAAGGATTTGCTTTACTTAAACAAGCTGCAGAAATGGGTGTGCCTAATTCACCATATGAACTTGCTCGATGTTATGAGTATGCGGAGGGCACTGAAAAAGACCTGAAAGTTGCTTTCGATTGGTATCAAACTTCTTTGAACAACGGGCAAAAATGTCACGACGACCGAGAGCGTGTCATGGTTAAAATCATGAAAGAGCAAACTAAGTCTAATGTTACAAAATGATTTAACTTTTTTAAAACCAACTAAGCTCTTGAATTGTCAAAGGGAGTTAGAAATGAGTGTATTGTATAGGTTTATTACATATTAGATTTAGTGAATTTTTATTAGGCTTTTTAAGTACATAGTTTCGGATCGAATAAACATATTCGTACTCATGTGTAGACGCGTACTAGAAGATCTTAAACGAATGGATTTTCAAACTAAATTAATAATCTTAAATTATAATAAAGTTCAAGTCGTAACATCATAAGTAATAGGCATAGGTTAAATATGATTAATGTTGTTTTGACTTCGTTCGTATAAAAGTTAGTCATTAATAAAAATACCGTTCAAAGAATATATTCGTCTTATTAATAAATCTTGTTGATTTCAATTTAGTTTGTGACTGCATTCCTTGTTTAAGTTGACTTAGTAAGTATAACGATCAAATATTACATCATGGTGAATTTATAAAATTTTTGGTTAGTAGAGTTTAGAGTCAGGTTTTCTTATGTTAAAACTGGATTTAATTGGTTTAACATAAAGAAAAATAAAATTGCTTACAAAGTCTACTATTACCAAAACTAGTTGTTTGGATTTGGATTGTAATTTTGGTTACCAAATATGTTTCGATTTTTTAAATGATCATAACTTTTATTTAAAAGGTTTTAAAAAAATTTAACCAGTATCTAAAATTAGCAATTTTACTTAACTTAGTATTAAACTATAAGCATTTCTATTTTCATCCAGGTTATTTTAATTCATCATGTGAAATGAGGCCTTGCTGGCCTGAAAATGTTATCAAAAACAAGATAAGTCACATGATTACTATTTATATAACAGTTGTTATGAGTTATATACTATATAGGGATAATGATTTTCTATAGCAATCAATAGGCAATTCCATTCATAGTAAGTCCAAATTCTGCAAAGTTTTGTGCATTTAAATTATAAAATCCATATTAATTTTCATATTAGTTATATTAAAACCTTAAATATTCTGTACTTATTCTTTAAGGGTAGGGGGTACTATATTAAAATTATATATAAACTTAATTGTAAATTTTTTTATATTTAATTTTATAAAAGATTATACTAAGTAAATTAATATTAATTTATAAGAAAAGTTTGTAGAACAGGTCTTTTTGATTCCAATGATAGTAAAATTATTAAATTTGATTAAAAACTCAGTAAGATATAATTTTTTAAAGATTAGGTATAAAAATTATTAATTAAATTAACTTTTAGGATTACATAAATTAACCAATCAAATTTAGCAAATTTAGTAATCTCGTGTTATCTCAAAAAATTTTGAGCTAACCCAGAAAATATTTATGATATATACAAGTACAGTAGCCTCACAAAGTATAATATAGTTACACAAAAAACATAACAAAAATTTATACAAAAAAGTATACATAAAAATTTATACAAAAAACATAATATGTCAGTTAATCACTATATTAATAAGTTAATTAATCATTGCTTTAATTATTAATTTATCAATATTTAATAATTCAATTTTTTTTATTTTTATTTCTTCTTACTCTTTCTTATTTGTATTCTTTCTTACTTTTATTTTATCATAACTATGCCTTGTGATACTCAATTAAATGACTTTGAAAAAGGACAAATTATTAAAATGCAGCTTGAAGTTACAATAATGTTTATTGCTACAGTATTAAATCATGATCATTCTGCAGTATCTCAATTTTTAACTCAATATAGAGAAGGAAATGTTGAACCTGTTATATGTTCAGAAAGACCATTAATTATGACTAATATGGATAAGCAAAATTTTATTGATGCAACAATTCATTACAATGATCTGCTGCTTAAAAAAATTTTAGCTAATCATGATATTAATATTTCACTATCTTTGGCAAGAAAAATCTTGCACAAAAATAGAATCTGAAGATGTATAGCTGCTAAGAAACCAGGTTTGATTTCAAATCAAGCAGAAGCATGACTTGCCTGGTGTAATGCTCATATTAATTGGAGTACAAATGATTGGCAGAAGGTTATCTTTAGTGATAAATCATCTGTTGAAATCAGTAATTGTTTATAAAAAATAATTGTATAGAGAATAAAAGGTAATCGATACAAGTCACATTTTATAGTACCAATATTTAGAAGTGAAAGAAGAAGTTTTATGATATAGAGATATTTTGTGAGTAGTAAAAAAGGATCATTGGTTTTTATGAAGAAAAGAAAAAGCACAAAAGCAATTAATACTCAAAGATATATTGAAGTATTAAAAGATCATCTAATATTTTTTTACTATAAATTAATGACAATGTTTAGAGATAATATCATCTATCAAAATGACAATGCACCTATTCACAGAGCATGATATACTCAAGAATGGATGAATAATGAAAATATTAACTGTCTTCTCTGGCCAGCACAATCATTTGATTTGAACCCTATTAAGAATCTATGAAAAATATTAAAGAATAATGTTCAACAGTGAAGACTATTTCCAAGAACTTATGAAACCTTAAAAACAGCACTTTTGGAAGAATAGAAAAATCTAGATTCATCTATCTTGATGAATTTAATTAATAGTATGCCAAATCATATTAATAAAGTTATTCAAAATAATAGTTATAGTTGTAAATACTGATATTTAATATATATTAATATATATTATATAATTATTATATATTAATATTGTAATCATATATTAATTTGTGCAATATATTAATGTCATTGATTTGCATAAATTTTTGTTATATTTTTTGTATAATCATGTTATACTTTGTAAGACTACTGTATATATTTTTTAAATATAACAATAGTTTAAAATTTTACTACATATAATAGATAAATTATTTTATTTATATTTTGTAAAATTTTAATAAAAATTAGTTGTAATTTAAAAAATTTTTATTAGTAATATATGTTAATTTTATATAAAAATTCTAAAAAATATATAAAACTATATAAAAATGATTTACATATCTCCTACTCTTAAATTATTTTAAAAATTATTCAAATTTTTACCTAAATTATACTTATTTTTTTAGTTTATTTATTTTCTATATTAGAACTTATATGGTGCTAGAAGTCTATACTCAATAGTTACATAAAGTATTTTTAAGATGTTTCAATTTTTTAAATAGTTATAACTTTTTATCTAAGAAGTTTTAAAAAAATCTGATTAGTAACTTTATAAAACTATATTAGCTCTATATATATACTAAATATCTTGTCAAAGTTTTATCACTATAAAGAGTTGATGCATTTTAAAAATCAAAATTTTATATATAAATTTATAAATTTACATATGAAATTTCAATTTTCAAAATGCATCAACTCTTTACAGTAATAAAATTTTGACAAGATATTTAGCATATATATAAAGCTGATATAGCTCTATAAAGTTACTAGTCAGATTTTTTTAAAACTTTTTAGATAAAAAGTTATAACTATTTAAAAAATTAAAACATCTTAAAAATACTTTATATAACTATTGAGTATAGATTTCTAGCACCATATAATTATTAAATATAAATTAAACTTAGAGATGTAGCAATCTAGTAAAATGAACAGGTTGGCAATCTTCAAGTAGCAGGTTTAGAGTTCAAATTTCAGTATTAGCAAAAATTTGCAATTCATTCTGTATTATAGTTAACTGTTTTCCAAAATTGGTTAGGATCAGATACCTGTTACTCATGTTATATTAGCATAACTAGAAGGTTATATAGCATTTGTACAATATTGTATAAAGAAACACAAACTGGTACTAGGTAGTGTAAACTTATAATAAGTTCTGTAATTATGTAAATCATAAAAATTAGGAAGATAGAAGTTTACTTAGAAGGTCTAAATAAAAAAAAGTAATTCAAATTTTTTATAGTATTACTATAAAGACTAGTTTTTAAAATAATCTAGAATCTGTAAAGCTAGATAAAAACATGTTAGTCTTTGGAAAAGAGTTATTGTAACTAGCTAGGCTATTAGAATCTATTTTAGAGAAAAAGATTATATACTAAAGAACATGTAAATTAAAGGTATAGTTTATTTATCTTTTTAAATTATCTGAACTAAGAGTTTGATAGAACTTGATTTAAATAACAAAGTAATAGAGATATGCTATAAAATAAGTACTGGAGTTGAGATAAACTTTACAAAAACATAGCAATTTAATGATATGCTCTAATTGCAACTGTTGATCTTAATTATAACATTATTAGATTAGTTGTAAAAATAAGATACAAAAGTTTCTGAAAGGTTTAGTACAAGATCAAATGTTCTTATATGAGTGACTGTATTAAAAATTTAGTGATCATGACATATTTGTACTAGTATTAATTAGAGCATCTTAGTAAATATAGGTAAGTAGATAGATATAAGAACTAAAGTATTTAAATAAAAACTTATAAACAGGTTTCAGGTATAACAGCTAGTATAGAACATTTGAGCAAACTACTTAAATTAAACAATGACTAAAGTTGTATAAGTAGTTAGTTGTATACATTTTTTATATTTGCTTTTTATAGTTGTAATACAATCATTAGCTAAATGTACTATTAATAAAATCCTATATTACAAGTACTTGCCTTAATATTTAAAAATATATATATATAAATTAAACTTATATTATAAAATTCTATAATAGTTATTTTAAAAAAGATAAGTATAGTAATAATAATTAATATTATATACATATTAGAGATTGTATCTATTAAAAAATTACTATTTAGATATTATTAAATATTTAAATTGATCCAAATAAATTACTATATTATTCAAACAAAAATCTTTATTTAAATACAATTACTAATAGAATATTGTAATTTATTGCAATAGTGATGTATTACTACCCTTGATTGACCAATTAGAATGCAAGATCAGATGTAATGTAAAATTGAAACAAATATTGTCTTTTTGGAATAATCATCTGTTTATATTCTAATTAAAAAAATTTCTTGCAAAATTTTAGATTAAAAGCTTTCTTTTTAAAATTATATTTAATTCTAGTCTAATGCTAACTATAACCTTAAATTAACATATTTGTA